CCCCCAGCTGGCAGAGAACTCAGGAGGCTGGGCTCCTTTCACTCACCTTCTTCAGGGGGGGGCAATGTGGGCTCCTCCTCTGGGGGGGGCTCCCCCAGCAGCTCTGTAAGACCCGGGCACAGTCAGAGACCCTGCCCCCCACAGCAACCAGTGCTCCTAGGGCCCCCCTGGGCACTTGCAGGCAGTCTAGAGCCCCCTAGTGGCACCCATTGACCACTGCAGCCTCCAGATGCAACCCTGGCACCCCTTGAGGGTCTCCGCTGGCCAATGCAGGGTGTCCCCTAGAGTGCCCCTCCAGGCAGACCTGCTGGCCCCCAGGGGCACCCCACTGCTATTGCCTTGGATATAGAGCTCCCTAGTGGCCCCCTGTTGGCTACTGCAGGCTTCAACTGGGCAAGTGCCCTCTGGGGGGCCCCATTGGCCTAGCGCCCACCCCCCCGCAGGCACCGTGGGTGGTGATGTGCAGCTCCGGGGTGGGCGGGCTCTCGCCCAGGGCATTGCGGGAGGTCACAGCCAGGCTGTAGGGCATCCCCGGGTGGAGCGAAGTGAGGGTAAAGGCGGATGCGGCCCCTGGAAACACATCCACGTAGGAGGCACTGGGGGCCCCTGGCCAGCGGTACCTGGAGGTTGAAAGGGGGCAGGGTCAGGAAGACAAGCTCTGCCCACTTCTCACAGGGCCCCAAACCCCTGCACAAAAGCCACACCCCCTGCTGGCCCCATAACCACAGAACCCTGCCCCTTCCATGCCAAGCTGTGTCCCAGCCCCAAGACCCTTGCCACCTCTGGGCTATGCCCCGCCCCCATAGGGCTGTGAACGCCACCCCCTGCCCTATTAGCCCCACCCCCATACCTGATTCGGAACTGCTGGCGCAGCCCCCCATCGAAGCCAGGGGTCCAGGCCAGTGACACAGAGGTGGGGGTCACCCCCACAACCTGCAGCCCTGTGGGAGGGTCGGGGTGGCCTGGGGGGAGAGGGGGAGTCAGACCGGTGCCCCTCACTCCTGACCCATAGCCCCAACTTATCCCCATAGTGCCCCTCACTCCCAACCCACAGCCCCGTACTGGTGCTGAGCAGCTGGACGTCCAGGCGGGCACTGCCAAGAGTGTTGGCCGCAGTACAGATGAACATGGCATAGTCGGCCGCAGCACTGACGTTGGCGATGACAAGGTCGCTGCGGTACCACGGCCCCTCCCGCCACGAGCGCGTGGAGTACCTGGGGACCAGGAGCAGAGCCCCACTCCTTTCTATTCAGCCCCGCCCATTTACATCCAGCCACGCCCCTTTCCATTCAGCTCCACCCCTTTCCATTAAACTCTGCCCCTTTTCCTTTAAGCATCTCTTCCCTCCACCCCTTCCCTGTCCTCCACACCCTTCTCCCCCTAAGCCCCCTTCTCCCAGGCCGCACCCCTTACTCTGTGCCCCACTTCCTGCCCTAGGCCACCCCCTTCTGCCTTTAGCCCTGCCCATTCCTCCCAGCTCCTCCCCTTATGGTATTATCGGGCCCGCCCTTTTTGCTCCAGGCCCCAGCCCTTTCCCCTATGTCCTTCCCCTGCCCACTCCTTTCAAGCCCCACCCCTTCCCACCGCTCCACCCCTCTTTATGCCCTGCCCCATCCCATGCCCCACTCTTCTGTCAAACCCCAGCCCTTCCGCATGCTCCGCCCTTGTCCATGTCCCTCCCCTTTCCCCATGCCCTGCCCCATGCCCCCGGCCCCACCCCTCCCTGTACCGGGGCTCTTCCGGGTCCAGGGCAGTGCCATCCTTGGTCCAGCTCAGCTCCACGCCTGGGACCCCCCGGGCCCGACAGCGCAGCACGGCCATGGCCGACCCGTCCCCTGGCACTGCCACCTTCTCCCAGCCCGGGCCTCGCTCCAGCTCTGGGGGGACTGGGGGATGGAGATCTGTCAGGCCACGCCCCTGCCTCTGCAAGTTCCGCCTCTTTCCAGGAGGCCCGCCCCAGCGACCCTCTCCTCCTGAGGCTCTGCCCTTTCAGGAGGCCCTGCCTCCCCAGATCACTCCCCCCACCCCCGAAAATCCACCCCCTCTGGAGGCCTTATGCAATCCATCCAGCCCTAAAGCTCCGCCCCCTCTGGGGGCCCCACCTCCCTAACTCATTTGCCCTGCTTGAGGCCACGCCCCAACCATCCCTGAGGCTCCGCCCCTTTCTAGAAGCCCTGCCTTGCCTTAGACCCTCCCCCTCCTGATGCTCCACCTCCTTCAGAGGCCCCTCCACCTCCAGGGACCTTGCCTCTGTGGAGGCCCCACCTCTCCTGAGACATGACTTGGGAGGCCCGCCCCTCTGTTGGCCCCGCCCCTCCTAGAATCTACCCCTGCTCTGGAAGGCCCCGCCTCCTCCCTGTGGCCCCATCCACTCTCTAGGCCACACTCCCTCCCTGGCCCTGCCCCGGGCGCACAGTGGACGATGAGGCGGGCACTGGCGCGGGCTGGTGCTCCAACCCCGTTGTCCACACGGCACTCATAGCGCCCAGCCTGGTCACGCCGCGCCGCCGGGACCCGTAGTCGCCCCACGGCACCCACCGCCACCGCCTCCAAGTCGTCCAGGTCCCGCTCCTCTGGACCCTGCCGGGAGGGCAAAGATCAGGGGGCAAAGATCAGGGAGGCCTGGGATCAAAGGAAGGCATGTGGGGGGTCAAGGAGGAGAGACAAAGGTGGGGTAAATGGGGTGAGGGTAAAAGGGCCAGAGTCAGAGAGAAGGGGATCAGAAGGAGATCAAAACTCAAAAGGGTACTAGAGTCACAAGAAGGGGTCAACGGGCTTAAAGGTGAAAAGGTCAAAGGGAAAAGGGTCTGCAGTATGTGGGTCAAGGATCAAGAGAAAAAGGTGAAACGGCAAAGATCAGAAACAACAGGCACCAAGGCATCACAAGAAGGAATCAATAGGGTTAAAAGTCAAAAGGGGAAGGGTAAAAGGTCAGCAGTAAGGGGGTCAAGGGTCAAAAATGGAGGACAAGGATCAGGAGGGAAATGCGAAAAGGCAAAGGTCAGAGAGTGAAGGCATCAAGGGATCACAGGGAGTCAATGGGGTTAAAGGGCAAAAGGTCAAGGGAAAAGGGTAAAAATCAGAGACAAAATGGGGAGTAAATGGAGGCAGGGTGAAAGGGCAAAGGTCAGGGACTATAAGGTCATGGGTCAAAGGGGGTCAAGGGTCGAAAGAGCAAGGGTCAGACAACACAGGGCTGAGTAGGGCCTTAGGATACTGGGCCAGGGTCAGGGGGCCAAAGGTCAAGGTTAAAGGCAAGGAAACAAAGGGCACAGCAGGTAGGGCAGAGACAGCCTGCCCAGGGTCAAAGGTCACTCTTGGGGGCACACAAAGGACAGCCTCCTCGAGGTCAAATACACCATGGCTAGGACCAAGAGATCCAAGGTCAAATGTTCTGTCCCCTTTGCCTCCCTTAAAGGTCATAGCCAGGAGGCAGCAAAGGTCCCCTTGAGGCTTTCCCAGGTCAAAGGTCAGCAACTTTGGGGTCAGGGGCAGAGTTAGAGAAAGGGCACCAGGGGGCAAAGGTTGTGGAGAAGAGCCGGCAACTGGGAGAATGGCTGAGGGTTGGAGCAGGGGGCAGAGGCTGGGCTGGACACGGGGCAAAGGTCAAAGGTCGTCCCCCCACCCCTGAAATCCTCCCAACTGCCCCCCCCCATCCAGGTCCACTGGAACATGCCGGGGGGGGCTGGGACAGCGTCAGCCATGCAGACAATCTCGGCGGCGGCCCCTTCGGCCACCACCATCGGGTCACTCAGGCTGCGGATGGACGGCGCATCTGGGGGACGGAGTCAGGCCTGAGGGTGGGGCCAAGATGGGGGTGGGGCTAGGGAGAGGGGCGGGGCCATGGAGTTGGGAGAGCAGGGTCACAGCCATCGGGGTGGGGGGCAGGACCAGAGCAGAGGTCCAATGTGTGTAGTCAGAGTGGGGGGCGGGGCCAAGGCAGTGGGGGCAAGGTTATAGGAGTAGGGGTGGGGCCAAGGGAAAGGTGCTGTAGGAGGTGGGCTATGGCTGGGGGGGGGGGAGGAGGGAGCGGGGCTAGAGCTAAGGAAGAGGGGGCGTGGCTGGGACCTGGGGGTGGGGTCAAGGTTGCGGCAGGGCCAGGGCAGAGGGGGCAAGGCCAGGGGCTCACAGTGGACAACGAGGTGCAAGAGGGTCTCGTTGGCGCCTTCCTCGTTGCTGCACTGGGCGCGGTAGGGCCCTGCATCCGCCCGTGTCACATTCCACACAGCCAGCGACTTCCCCGGGCCCACCTGGTGGTGGCGCGGGGACCCCTCTGTGGGCAGGGGCAGGTCAGGGTCACAGCCCTGGTGCCCCTCACTCCCAATCCCAGCCCCCCTTATACTCCCGGTGCCCCTCAGTCCCGACTCGCAGCCCTGCCTTATACCCCAGTGCCCCTCACTCCTGACCCGCAGCCCCGCTACCTGGAATCAGGTCCTTGCCCCGGAAACTCCAGGTGCAGGTGAGGTCAGGGGGGTTCCCAGACACCAGCAGGGGCAGCTCCACCGCTCCATGCTCCTGCCCCACCACCAGCCCCGGCTGTTCTGCAGAGAACTCGGGAGGGTCTGAGGACAGCAGGAGAGGTATGAGACCTCCCCAGGCACCCATCACCCACTAGGAACCCCTGGGCTATTGCAATGGGTCTTGAGCCCCCTAGTGGCCCCTGTTGGCCACTGCAGCCTCCAAATGCAGCCCTGGTGTCCCCTGGGGGTCTCTGTTGGCCACTGCAGAGCACCCCAAGAAGCCTAGTGCCACCCCATGGCCACAGCCTCCCCCCAGAGGAGACCCAGCGCCCCCTAGTGGCCCTCCAGTGCTATTGCAAGGGCTCTAGAGCCCCCTAGTATCCCCCATTGGTCACTGCAGGCTGGCTAGATGCAGCCCTGGGGAGCCCCATTGACCACTGCAGGCACTTCCCAGCCCCCACAGGGCCTCACACTTGACGTCCAGCTGGTAGAAGGTGTTCATGGCCTCTCCCAGGATCGGGCTCTGGGCCTGGCAGGTCACTCGTTGGCCGTTGTCAGTTGTCGACACCACAAGGGAGACTCGGCCTGAGGTAGAGATGCCACCGTACTCAGCAGCCCGGCGACCCAGGTCCGTGCCCTGCAGCCTGGAGTAGAGGCAGGAGTGAGGGGCATCAGCAGGGATGGTGGGGGGCACAGGTCTGGAGTGAGAGGCATCAACAGGGGGGAGCCCAGGGGGCTACAGGTTGAGAGTGAGGGGTACCAGCAGGGCTGGTGGGGTAGGGGGCTGTGGGTTCAACAGTGAGGGGCACTGGCAGGGCTGGTATAGGGTAGGGGGGTGTGGATTGGGAGTGAGGGGCACCGACAGGGCTGGAAGAGAGTAGGGGGCTGCAGGTCAGGTGTGAAGAGCACCAGTGGAGCTGGGGAGGCCCGGGGGGATCTGACCTCTTGCCCTCCTTGAACCAGGTGATGGTGGCAAAGGGGTTGGCGCTCCCGGCCACGCAGGTCAGGGTCAAGGCCTGGCCCCGTCGCACCTCAGGGGGCGAGGGTGTGATCTTCACCTGGATCGGAGGGACTAGGGTGGGGGGCAGGTCAGAGTTGGAAGGAGCCCTTGGCATCTGGGCCCCCAACCCCCTCCAGCTCCCCGCCCCAGCCCCCACTCTCCTCCCAGAGGACCCAGGCATCCGGGCACCCCCCCACTCACACTGGACGCGCAGGCGGGTGAGGGCGCTGAGTGGGGCCCCCTTGGCGTCATTGGAGGCATTGCAGCGATAGGCTGCCATGTTGTCGCTTGGGGCCGCAGTCAGCAGCAGCTCCTTGGAGACTGTCCGGCCCGAAGACACCTGCGTCCCTTCCCGCAGCACCCGGGAGTCCTGGTGGGGGGGCGGGGGGCAGCTCTGGGTGGTGAGGAACAGCCCCAAAGGCAGCAACCCTGCCCCCACAAACTCCGCCCCAAAACCCTTCAAGCCCCGCCGCTGGTCTCAAGCTTTCAAGGCCCATACCCAAGCCCCACCCCCAAACCTTCAAGCCCCACCTCCATGCCCAAGCCCTGCCCCAAACCTTCAAGCCCCAATCCCCAGGCCTTCAGGACCTGCCCCTAGCTCAAGCCCTGCCCACAGGCATTGAAGTCCCTCCCCCCAGGTCTCAGGCCCCACCCGCACCTTAATCCAGATGAGGCGGGGGGTGGGGCTCCCACCGGTGACATAACAGCGCAGGCGCAGCACGGTGCCGGCCCTGAGGGGTGGCTCTGGGGGCGGGACCTCCAGCCAAAGCCGCTCGGGAGGGTCTGCCATTGGTGGGGAGTGCCTCTCAGTCCCTGCCCTGTTGCCCAGAAGCCCCACCCCACCCAAAACCCCACCCTTTCCCCTTAACCCTGCCCCTTCCCTCGTGTCTCGCCTCACCCCTTTCACTGACCCCCATCCTTTCCCAGGCCCGCCCTTTCCCATTAACCTCGCCCCTTTTCTCCAGCCCCGCCCCTTCCTCTTTAACCTCACCCCTTTTTCCCTTAGCCCTGCCCCTTCCCACCTAGCTTTCCCATGAGCCCCCCCTCTCCGCCCCCTCTGGCCCTGCCCCTCACAGGTGATGGCGAGCACGAGGCTGGCAGCACGGGAGAGGCGCAGGGCACTGTTGAAGGCCTCGCACGTCAGGGCCAGGCCGTCCGCGCTGCGCCGTGCCAGCACCGACACGTTGGACACCGTCACCGCGCCGCCATGTGCGTCCTGCAGGACCCAGGCATCCAGGCCACCCCGGTAGGTCAGGGGACCCAGGTGTCTGGAGTTCCCTCGCCCCACGCCACCACATCAGGGGACCCAGGCATCCAACCCCGCTCCCCAAAGCAGGGGACCCAGGCATCCGAGCCCCCCCCCCCCCCCAGCAGGGGACCCAGGCATTGGAGCTCACCGGGATGATACTGCCATTGGAGGGGGGCAGCTCGCGCCCCCCCAACCACCAGCGCAGCGCTGCGGGGGGACGGCTGGGCCCAGCCGAGCACGACAGGTCCAGGGTCCCATTCTCAGGTGCGCTGCCCACGCCATGCAGCATCACCTCGGCTGGCGGGTCTGGGGGGGCACCTGGGGGGGTCAGTGCTCGCAGCTCAGCACTGCCCCGTGGTCCTCGGGCTGCACCGTCAGGATCAGGGTGCTACGGGAGGCCCCAGCCCCCCCGGCCGTCGCCCAGGTCGTGGACACCACGGCCCCCGCCTGGGAGACATGCAGCCTTGTTGGTGCCCCTCCCTCCGAACCCGCAGCCCCTTGCCGGTGCCCCTCACTCCCAACCTGCAGCCCCCTGTCCCCCAGCCCTGCTGATGCCCCTCCCTCCCGATCCACAGCCCCCCCCCATACCTTTATCCACTGCAGCGTGGCCAAGGGGTTCCCCCCCACGGAGACACAGGTCAGCTTCAGGATTTCCCCAGCCTTGACCTCTGACCTCTGCAGCCCCTCAATGGTGGGCGGCTGGGGTGGGTCTGGGGGAGGGGACACAGTGGGGAGAGCAGTGAGGGGGGCTGGCTCTGGGGGTCCCCGCTTGTAGCAAGGCAGTAGGATGTGGGGGGGAGAGGAGCTCCTCAATACTTATTGGCTTACGGGTCAATGAGAAGATGGCTTATATAGCGGGGTTTATGGACTACTGATTGAGGGGTCAATTTATATGCAGCGACCAACCAGAACCCTTCTTCACTCTGACTGGGAGACCAACCAATGAGAGGACAGCTTATATACACAGACCAATGGGAGGTCTTCTCAAACATCATTGGCCTAGAGATCTACCAATGAGAGACCAGTGTATGTAGATGAGTGGCCATGATGACTCCCAGACTTAGGGACCAATGGCTGAGAAATTGGGTTATATAAAGGAGCCAATGGAAGGTTTTGATAGCTCTCATTGGTTTAAAGCTCCAGTAATGAGAGGTCAGCTTCTATACAAGCACCAATTGGAGGTCTTCTTAATGCCTATTGGTCTAGAGGTCCAGCAATGAGAGGTTGACTTCTATACAGGGACCAATGAGAATGAAGATGAAGAGGCAACTTATACAGAGGACTCTCACTGGGTCAGTCCCATGATACCATGGGCCAATGGGAAGTTTTCTCAACCCTCATTGTTCTAGTGGTCCACAAATAAGGGGGTTGCCTATATACAGCATTCTCCAACTGAGTTAATTAGGGTACTGGGAAGAACTGGGACGTAATGGGAGACCCCATGGAAGAGGAGAGGGGGATGAGGAGGTAGGAGGCTGGGCCCCACCCCCCTTAAAGGGCCAGGCCACTCACAGAGGATGTTCATGATGAAGCTGCTAAGGAGGGGAGTTGAGATGGCCTCGTTCAGGGCCTCGCAGAGCAGGCGGCGCCCATTGTCCAAGATCTCAGGGGTGAACCTGGGGGTGATGACAGGGTTAGGGGCACCGGCAGGGCAGGGGGGCTGTGGGTTGGGAGTGAGGGGCACCAGGAGGCTGAGGGGCTGTAGGATGGAAGTGAGGGGCGCTGGAGAGGCGGGGGTTGCGGGTCAGGAGTGAGGGGCACCGGGGAGTGGGTAGGGGACCCCTCACCTGACTGTGGCCTTGGTGGTCGACAGCTTCTCATGGGACCCTGGCTCCACATGGGACGAGGCTTCAGGGAGGGGCTGGTCCCCTGGAGTGGGGCATGGTCAGAGGGGGCTGGGAACCTGAGACCCCACCCCCTTCTCCCAACTGAATGGCCCCACCCCTGGCTCAAAGTCCTGCCCCTGCCACCCCTTTAGGCCCCCCTCCTTTCCTTTGACCCTGCCCCTCAGCTGCTGAAGCCACGCCCACCCTTTTGACTCCACCCCAGGCTCCTTCTAGCACCGCCCCATCCCACTATGGCCCTGCCCCCAGGCTCACCACGGGCCAGGGTGACCTGGGCGGGGGGCTGGGCGTCGGGGGCGCTGCATGTGACTGTCTGCTCCTCTCCTGCCACCCACGTCACGATGCTGTCAGGCTTCTGCTCCGTGAACACGGGGGGCTGTGGGGGCACTGGGGAAGGGGCAGGGGTCATTCCCAGGCTCTGGCCCCACGGCTGCACCCAGGCCCCACCCCCTGCTTCTCATTGCAAGCCCCTTCCCCAGATAGGACCCACCCCCTGTCCCTCCCCACTGCCTCTGGCTGGACCCCAATTAGGGAGGGGCTTAGGCAGGGCACAGGGAAGGGGGCATGGCCTGGCCTTGATGGGGGAGGGGCTAGGTCAAGAAGGGGGTGTGGCCTAGCTTGACAGGGTAGAGCACAGTGGGAACAGGGGGCGTGGCCTGGCTGGGATGGGGTAGGGGCATGGGTGTAGCAGGAACTGCATGGCCTGGCTTCTCCGTGGGGGCAGAGGGTGGGGGGGTGTGGGCGAGGGGGCGTGGTCTA